TCTCCCAGACCCCTGCGTCGGGGCAGGGCCCCAGAAGTCCAAGTGGAGAGTCTCGAAGGGAGAGGTGGCCGGACGAAGGGAGGAGGAGTGGGGAGTGGCGCGTAAGCGACCGGCGACGCACGGAGAGCAAGGAGGGGCAAGCGAGAGAGGGAGCGACGGGAAGGTGCGTGGGAGACCTGTGACAAGTCCCTGACTGAGCATGCCACGAAGGCGAGGGATCGACGGGTGGCCAAGGCGGTGGTGCCACAGGACGGTGCGGTGGGCAAGAGAGCGACAGGAGCAAGACGCAGCGACTGGACTGGACACAGCGACCGGACTGGACACGACTACCTGGCTAGACACAGCAACTGGACTGGGGACCTGGGCCGGAGGGGACGCAGCGACCTGAGGGGAGGACGCGACCGGGGAGCGCTCGGTGTGGAGAACGTAGAGACCGGAGCGGGGCTCCCTGGTGAAAGTGGCCAGAACAGCACCTGTGGTAGCGTCAGTACAGACTGCAGTCCGCCCACCCCCCACGAAGGTAACCGTGATCCCCGTGTCCTGGAGGTATCCAACACCCACCAAGTTCCGAGTGAACGAGGGGATGTGGAGGCCGCGCAGGACACCAGAGGGGACCACAGGGCACGGGAGGGTGGTGGAGCTACGCGCAACGGCTGGTCCAGAGGTAGGATCAGCCAGAGCCACCGACACAGGGGTGAGGAGTGGCGTAAGGGTCGTGTGGTCGCGGAAGAAGCACTGAGACGCGCCCGAGTCCACCGTGAACGACAGAGAGGCCTCAACCGGAGGGTCACCTGACCCAGTCGCTACACAAGCACCTAGAGCAGCAACACAAGCACCTAAGCTAGACAGGCACAAGGCTACACTAGCAGGAGGCAAGCAGGCTAACCTACGAACACGCGAGCACACAGACCCATCAGCACTAAAGTCAGCATCAACATACAAAGCATGCTGACGCGCATCGTCCATGGACAGATCAAAGACATCAATCTTACGGGCTAACAGGCGAGACCAGCGAGGCGTGACCGCCAGAGGGCCCCAACGAGCCCGGTAGAGGTCGTCGAGGCGGCGGAAGCACCGCGCGGCAGAGTGGTCGTCGCGACCACAGAGACAGGGGCTGCCCGGCCCGGTGAGGCACCAGTGGGTGCAGGGGCCAGCGTCACGGCGAGGGGGGCGAGGGGCCCAGCTGGAAGAGCTGCTGCTGCGGCCGGTGCTCCCAGGGCCTCCCGGACCCCACTGCGGCGGAGGACCCCAGTGCTGCTGCGGACCCCACTGCAGCGGGGGCCCCCACTGCTGGAACTGTTGCGGTGCCTGCTGCTGCTGCTGTCCCTGCTGCTGCAGCTGTCCCTGCTGTGGCTGGTGCTGCTGTGGCTGCTGCTGCTGGGGGACAACGCCCCCACCGGTCGGGCCACCACCTGGGGGTGGGCCTGTCTGTCCTGCACCTCCTCCAATGCCCCCTCCCCCTGGCGCACCACCGCCGCCGCCGCCGCCTCCGCCACCACCGCCGCTCCCACCTCCACCGCCACCTCCACCGCCACCTCCACCGCCCCCACCTCCCCCCTTCCCGCCCTTCTTGCCACTCTTGCCCCGTTTCTGCCAGTCTGCGGCAGAAACGGCAGCGGTGTCCTCAGAGACCGACACAGCAGCAGAAGCGCGGGTAGAGGTGAAAGTGGGAAGCTGGGGGGCGGCACACCCCGCAAAGAGACGGGGGGCCACCGCATCAGTGGCGGAGGCAACGGTGAGGAGGCTGCTCTCGATGGTCCCGAGAGCAGTCTGAAGGAGGTCTATAGTGAGCTCAGTGGGGTGCTTCTGAAGAAGCGTGTCGCGGGCAGTGGCAAGGCGATCAGGGAGGCGGGTGACTAACCAGTGCACAGTGAGCCAAATGGGGGGGGAAGCAGCAAGGAGCTGTGCGTCGGTACAGGCTGAACGAAAACCGGCGTCAAGCGAGCGGGGGTGAGTCACTAGGTCGGAAACAGTCGCAAACGAGCCTAGGTCGGGAAACACGAACGGCATGAGGAGGCGACTGAGGGAGGCGGAGGAGGGGGTGGAATAGCGAGCCACAATAGCATCCCAAACCCCCTTGGCTGTCTCCACCTGGTCAAAGTGAGCGGCCTCAGTCGGGGGGAGAAGCTCCGATAGCGTGAGGGCGGCGGCCGCGTCACGAGAGAGCCACACGTCCCGAGCCAGGACCCGACGGTCGTAGTCCGCCTGGGCTGTAGGAGTGGGCTCCGGGGCGGTCGGCAGGGCGGCGGGGGACGGGGGTGCCGCGAAAGCACCCGACGTGTGGGCCCACAGAGTGGCGCCGTCCTGACGCTGGCTGGTGAGGAAACGTGTGGTCTGGCGTTGCCAGGTACCGAACTCGATCGGGCGTCCCTCAGCATCGAAACGGAGGCGACGGGCCTCCATAGCGGAGCCCATGCTAGAGGCGACTGGAGCACGGCGGAGACGAAGCTAAGAACGAGGAGGAAAACTACGGAGGGCTAGGGACGCCAGCGGGGAAAACGACGAGAGACAGTCGGCAAGAAAATAGTCGTGGGGCGGGGCTCTAACCGAACCTAGGTGGCGCTACCAGAGGGAAGAGCGGCTACCAGCCGCTGAGCCGGGAGCCAAGTGCAGTAGGAATGGCGTGGGACCGGTGCACAGGTGAAGGGGAGAGAGATGCAGTAAGCGCACAGAGTGATCCGGTAAGGGCACGCAGGTGTGCGGGGAGTGCACGCAGGTGTGCGGGAAGCGTACACACAGAGTGATGCGGTAATTGCACGCAGGTGTGCGGTAAGCGCACGCAGGTGTGCGGTAAGCGCACGCTGGTGTGCGGGAAGCGTTGACGGAGGAGGGCGCGCGACGATCTAAGGAGGGCGCGCGACGGTTGAGGAGGGCGCGCGACGATGAGGGGGGGCGCGCGGCGGTCTAAGGAGGGCGCACGACGGTTTTGGAGGGCGCGCAACGGTGGGGGAGGGCGCGCGGAGGTCTAAGGAGGGCGCGCGGAGGTCTAAGGAGGGCGCCGACAGGCTGGACAGCGCGGGAGGGCGCGGGCTAGGCGCGAGGAGGGCGCGGAGGGCGCGGAGGGCGCGGAGGGCGCGAGAGCACGGAGGGCGTGTAGGGCGTGGAGGCTAGTTTAAAAAAAAAACGAACGAGGATCTAACCTACTCGTGATACCATCTCAGAATAGGAATGCAACGGAATGAGTGAAACTAGGAAGTGTAGAAGTCCAAATATGCAACCCTAACAACTGTACTCTCTATTGTGCTACTCACTGTAGCCTACAAGCATAGAATTACATTTGACAATTATATATTCGGAGAAGGCGAATACCGCGCTTCGACGATGCGCGAAATTGCGTTACAATCAGCTTCGCTTTCACAATACGCAAATTTGAAAGCGATAAACGCTTAGAAATATTTCATTTTGTGTCCGAACCATCTAGGCACGGGAACTGGTTCGGTGCCAAAGCTATAACACCAGCAAAATGTTCGAGCATCCTGTCAGTCTCATGTACCATCAAAATGTTTTGCAATTGCATCGCAGGAAAAAACGGGAGGTGTCGCACAGTCAAATGCCAAACCAACCCCTAGAGTTCGCCACCTCAAACAGGGTGACTCAGCTTCATTTGTTTCGCAGTTGATCACAATTTCTCTTACGTGAGACCCTGGTTAAAGCCCGCGGCCCTTAGTTACGGACCGCGTGGGTCAACATTACTAATCTTGATGATCGGCCTTCAGCAACTTGAAAAAAAAAACGCACGTGCAACTTGGGACTTCAGCAACCAAAAGTGAAGTCCCCCTGTGGGAAAGTGGTGCGAGGGTTGGGCGAGATTGTAACAAGCCTCGCTCACAACTCCCCGTCAACTTTTGTAATACCCTCCCCCATAGCCCAGCGGTCATACTTACTAAGGTTGAACAACTTGGGCTGCGGGCTTTAAGTGCTCTGACGATGGTTAGAAGGAATGGTATCCAGGGAAGCTAGAAAACGGATTTCCGAAAGGAAGGTGACCATTAGTGAAAGAAGCCATGTTCAGAGGTAAAATCCAGGGGATCTAGACAGATTTAGAGTGGTGAACAACGATTCACAGAAACGATGATCCATTTCCCCTGCTTGGGTGGAGGGCGCCGCACCGTCAGCCGAAGGTGGCAGTTCGTGAGAGCCTTGACGGCGAAGATACCCATTCCGTTAGCTACGACCCGCGAAATACCGAAGCGGGAATTGTATGTCAGAAGCATGCTTCTGACACGACGACGCGATCGCCCAGCAGGATGGGTCATGTTGTAATGTAGTAAATGATACGCATGCGATGGTTCTCGATCTTCATGCTCCTTCTGCTCTTGGGTACACCAGATTGATCGAACGGCTGAGCGCAACTTTTGCTCCCACCCAACCAATGTGCGAGTGCAACACACAAAACCAAGCGTGTTTGTACCCGGAACTATTGCAACCGATATACCATATTCCCTCGATTCACCTATACCTGATCAAATTAATATTAATTGAACGATACTTTATGCCTTCGCTATGCTTGATGGCAAGACAGTTTCCAAATCAGGTCAAATGGGGTATTCTGCAAGGAGACAAATTCGTGTATTGTTTCAATAATATTTAAGACAAAAGAAATGGCTAACACTCCCCAGGTGTCCAGGGCTCCAACCTAGAGTCAGATTTGTTGGTTGCACTCAACAAATACACATCCCTAGCACACCATGAAGTCACAGAGTGTGTGCACCCTCAGTCTACTTCCTACCTTCATCTGCCTTGCACAGTACTTACTACCCAACCAACCCCATAATTCCGCCCATCCACTACCACCCTAGGGCAACAAGTTGTTGCCACCACGCCACACTCCAGTCTTCTATGTACGGTAATGCACAGCAGAGGAAGGCAGGAAGAGCTGAGACTGCACCGCCGTTACCAACTGCAGCACTTCCCCATGGCCGCACTTTCAGCTTCCTAGGCGTGTCATGAGAGCTGCTGCTTTTACTGCACCCGTTTAGAAACTCCCTGAAAGACGCACTCTAGAGGTCAGGAGGGAGCAGAATGGACGACACGACGTGCACTGCAAGGGTATCGCCAACATACACATCGCCGGACACCAGCAAAGAAGGCATCAGGTCCTTTCCCTTGAGCATCACCACGGGGATGATCGGAGGTGTGAGCTTCGTGATGGCCTTCCCCTCCACAGTGGGGATCTTGGCGTTGCGGGACAGCGCCTGGAGGTCCGCAGCGGTATAGAGACCCGAGAGCAAGTGGTACAGGCGAATTTTGTTCGCCTGCGGGATCGTGTAGGCGGGCAGCGCGGAGGGGCTGAGCGAGGCGAGCGCTGCGGGGACGAGGAGAGTCACGTTGCCGGTGGAGCTGTCCAGCTTCATCACCCTGCGGACTGGTGGGGTGGCGGAGGAGGGAGGAAGGGGCAACGCGAAGGAGAGAGCCGGGATGAGACTAGTGGTAGTGCAGGTAATGCAATTCTATTTGCACAAGACTGACAAAAAGGCCATCTCACTAGTGCAGGAGACATGGAGAACGAGGTGAAACGACGAAAACGAGCACAGCGCGACGGAACGCGAAACTTACACAGCGCTTCGGCAGCAGGAAGAGTCGCGGCCGCGATTCGCGGCGACCGTCTGATCGCCTTGATGGCCTTGATGAACTCCGTCGGGTCTATCCGCGCCTCGGCCACGGCGGCCGCGCTGACGAGGACGAGGAGGAAAAGGGAAATTAACCTGACGGACGCCATGGTCGGAGTGTGTGGACGAACGGGATAAAGGTTGGCAAGATGTCTAGCTCGAACCGCACTCGGCGACTATATTCGAAGGTAGAGCGCAGGATAGAGTAGGATGTTTTAGAAATTTTGGTAGTTGTCCAACGTATGTCTGTCTGTCTACACAGCACGGTCAGATTTTGTACCTCGCAGCTGCACGTCATGCCGCGAGCCGAAGAAAACAAGGGATGCATCGTACAGGCAACGGCGAGGGGGAGGACAGCGGGGAGACTGGTCCAAGCTAGTCACCGCGTCGCGCTGAGGGGACGACAAAGCAGTAGGACATACGGCACCCCAGTTTGTTTGGATATAGGCGGCGCAGCTACGCGACGAGGAGGTTGCTGGGCGTGACTCTGGGAGCGCGCCACTGTGCTGGTCTAGGCATGTCTACCGTCTACTGTCGGAATTCATGAGAGTTCAACACTGAGGACGTAGCAGTCGGTGGTCTCGTCTTCGCTGTTCCGACGAAAATCCAGGAAATTCCAGATCCCTCCAGCCCCAGGTTGTGCCCTTCCCTGCTGAGAGGTGGAGCACGTTGAGAGGGGGAAAGGGACAGATCGTTGAGGAAGGTGGATGGATGGAGGGGATTGTTTGGCTGGGCTGTGGTGTTCGGTGGATTGGTGGGTGGTGTAGGAGGGAAGCGGCTGTCATGTGATTGGTTGATCCAGCCCCTACGGAACATCGCGGCCCGGAATTTTCGTCTCAAGGTGCTCACAATTAGTCTATAGAACCAGGTAGTATTTGAATCTGTAGAGCCAGATTGACAGAAAAATATGCCTGGGCATACTGTGAAAGCGTTCAGATTATGTTAGATCATTCATTGATATAAGAAACAATTAAAAAGGAATATGCATGCACCAATTTTTTTCCGGCACCTCTAGGTTGCCTTTTTCGCTGCTTGGAGCATCCATATTATTTGTGCCTGTTGTAGACTCGTTCCGATTTTGGTTTTTACTGGACGCTACGACAATAGCGAATGATGTTCTAACTGCACATTGCTGAGTTGTGGGCAGAAACTCTCGAGATTGCTCGTCATGGTTGACAATCTCAAGGGTCATTCCGATGCTGTGACTGAGCAGATTTCCCACAAGCCCCTCGGAATTCGGGAATTGCTTCCGGGCTGCTGTTGGATAAGCCTTGGAATTTGAAGATGGCGGAAGAGCACTGGACACTTTGCGGCTCATTGTCTGACTCAAGGCTGACCAGAGCATTGAAAAGAGCTAGAAACGACCACAGCAAGGATTTTCAGCTAATTGGTTTGCTGCAGCTGCAGCTAGGATGGCGAATCGGAGTCAAAGACTGACTCAATTGCAGCTCGTGCTGTTCCTTTTACTCCAGTGGAGACGATGCGCTTCACAGCTCACCAATGTTGACGAAGGTATCAAGGAAACTTGGCCATGAGTTGGTATTTTCTGCGATTGAATGACACCGCGCGTGCACGTGCTCATTCGTGTCATTGTGTATTTTATGTGGCAGTCGCCGCGCTGACAGCAATAGGTGGAAGCTTCGGGTGGCCCAGCGCATTGGAGTCGTGGAAATGGGCCGATCCGTGTTCTGGAGGAGCGTTGCCTGGAGCTACCGTGGGGGCGTCTGGGGGGTCATGGCGGGGTGTGACTTGCACATCTAACTCCAATCCGCGTCACGTGATTGGCTTGTGGGATTTTTATATCTCTATTATCTTTCACGAGCTGTTTGGCCCCGGAAGCCTCACCTAACGGTTCTTACATAACAGGAATATTACTAATGCTGGCCTTCAAGGGCCACTCAGCAAGGCTGTGGGAGACTTGGATGCGCTCCAATTTCTGTGAGTCGTCTTTACTCCACCACGGAAAATAAGTCTTTTTATTAAGTTTTGGATTGGTGCTTCTCTCGCTCTGTGGACTAACTGGTAATTTCCGTGCAGAGTGATGTCTGGCAATCAAATCCAAGGAGGCATGCCTGATACCATTACCCAGCTGAACAGCATAAGTCACCTGTGCGTGATCTGATTTTTCACTATGGTGTGATGAAACGAGATGATGCGACGAGCTCAGATGAGCCGATAGAGCAAAGCTTCGTCAGAAATTATCGTTTACATCCGACAGCAATGTTATAACATTCTTATGCCTCTCACAGAGACCTGAGTATGAATCCACTCACTGGCGAAATTCCTCACGGAGTTCAACAGCTCTCTGGCCTGAGACATCTGTAAGTCCCTGACAGCATGTTACTGGTGTCCCTGTTGCCATGACGCAGTGTTGATAGATTTAGTGATTGCGTGATGCAGGGATTTGTCTCAATGTAATCTTCAAGGCACCATGCCTCATCTGGGCTATCTTACTGCACTCACCGCAATGTGAGCATACTTCATCTCGTACAATTCTCCATGTTACCAAACGCTTCCCGCACTTTCTTTTCACGCGAATCCATGGACCGTCTGCATGAGCTAACGTCTGCGTTTACTTGATGACTCTAGAAATCTGAGCGGCAACCATTTGGGAGGTTCCCTGCATGCCAAGATTGGTGAAATCTCTGGCCTGGTGTACATGTAAGAGCCCTTCGCAGCAACTTGTAAACTCCATGAAGCAATAAAGCTGATCTCACTATTTTCTTTCACGGAAGGGCCTGCAGTTGGACAGGGTTGCTACCAATTTGACCAATTCAGTCCAAGTACACTAAGATATACCTCCAGTACTGGGTTGGTGGTTCAGCTGATTCCATTCTGTGCTCTTGCTCAGGGATTTGACCTCCAACGGCCTGGAAGACTCAATTCCAGCTGAGATAGGAAAGCTCAACCAACTTCAGTTACTGTAAGGGAGCCAGCAGAAAATAGCAACATCGTTGACAGCCTGTGAACCTGTGACCACAATTTCCTTTGATGTTTTTCCTTTGCATGGATGTCCCATCTTGCCATTGGTTTCTCATGAGCCACGACGCACATCCTCATAGACCCCAACGTTAGGAGAACCATACGTTGTTCACCTTGCTGCGTCTCTGTCCCCTCTGTGTCACTGGCCACCCCTCACAACACTCGTAACGCTGGCAACACTTGATCGACTCGGACGCATGGCACCAAGCAGTCATTTGGGCAGCAACACTTTCGATGGGACGCTGCCTAATGAACTGGGTCAGCTGACCAACTTGAAAGAGCTGTAAGGCCGTGCAAGCCAGCCACCAGTCCCTGCCAAAGTGCATGACTGCAATCTTATAATGCCTTGCGTCTCCAAGTTGTTGTAAATTTCCGTACTTCCGAACCGCTTTCCACTTGTCCCTCTTCCCGCTGCTCAACTTTGTATCTCCATGTCCTGACTCCTCACCTGCAGGGTGCTGAGCTCAAATCGTCTTACTGGCACCCTCCTGGCGTCCCTGGGGAACATGCCAAAGCTGCAGCTGCTGGATATTCGTGGGAACCAGTTCCAGGGAACCATTCCCGCCTCCTACTTCCGCATCCCAACGTTTTTGTGAGTGGGTGCGATGGGGTTGATAGACGAGCCATACGTTCTGAAAGGTTACAATGGCCGTTTTTATTACTGTATTTACATTGTTCGACCATAGCTGTCAGGATGCACCAGGGGTTAAGTCCTGCAGTCAAGGCCGCTAGCAGCTTGACACACCACTGCTTTACTGTCCACCACTGAACTGACTGCTGCGCGGTGCTTCATTCCTTGTTTCCTTTGCAAATCATACTTTTGTTATCTTTTTGCATCTTTCCTGGTCCCTCCCTGCCTTGCCAGGTATGACGGGGACCTCAAGATCCCAACATCAGGCCTACCACCACCCTCCCTCCCGCCACTTCCACCCCCCCCGTCGCCCCTAGCCCCTCTGCCTTCATCCAAGCGCCCCTCAACCAAGAAGCGCTCTTCTCCCCCACCCTCACCGCCACCCTCGCCTCCCCCTTCTCCTCCTCCACCGTCCCCTCCACCTCCCTCCCCCCCACCATCCCCTCCTCCTCCACCCCCACCTTCTCCCCCTCCCCCTTCCCCTCCTCCATCTCCTCCTCCTCCATCCCCCCCTCCTCCATCCCCCCCACCTCCATCTCCCCCCCCTCCCTCTCCTCCTCCTCCTTTTCCTCCCCCGCCGTCTCCTCCTCCGCCTTCCCCTCCTCCCCCATCTCCTCCCCCTTCTCCCCCTCCATCCCCCCCATTCCCACCCCCACCTCGCCCCCCGCGGCCTCGTTTCCCCCCACCATCACCCCCACCGCCCCCCTCACCGCCCTCCCCAGCGCTACCGCTCATCCCCTTTGTGCCCCCAGCCCCACCGGTGCCTGTACCATCTCTGGACCTCGCCACTCCGCAAGGCTGCTCGCCTTGCGCTGACAGCTGGGTTGCACGCAAGGTGTCATCTGTTGGGGGTCGTGGGGTGGCGTGCATGTGCGTGCAGCCAGTGGTAGTGGAGATTCGGCTGTCAATGGAGTTTCGTCGCTTCAACTCCGCGTTCAAGCAGGTACTGTCTGCACCGCACCGCTGCAAGAAATGTAATTGCGTCTCAGTCACGTTAGTCTCCGTGCCTGTTGTCTTGCATACTGGTACTTCTTCCCTCCCTCAAACCTCCCAATCTTCTTATCATAGAACCTCAAGCAAACGCGGCCTTTCCTTACTCCCCATTCCCCTCTTTTCACTCCTCTGTTTTTCCCTCTTTTCCCTCGCCCTCCCCCATTACACCATTTTTCCTCCCGTAACTTCCAATCAGAGTCTTCAGCTGCAGCTGGCTCGCTCATTTGCCGTCAACGCATCTCAAGTCCTCATACCCTCCATTCGTCCCGGCAGTGTCATCGCTCTCGCTGTGGTGCTGCCTCCTGCCCCCATCACACAATTCCCGAATGCCACCCTTGACCAATTCTCCACTACTCTGCAAACCGCACTTGCACAGTCCACCAACACAACTGCTGGCGGGGCTGCTGGTACTGGTGCAGGGGCTAGCCATGAGACGAGCAGGGTTGAGCTGTTGGGGCTTCGAGGTTTCGGAAGGGTGGAGGTGCTAGGTTACTGGATTCCTGGATACACCCTTTCCACACCGAGTAAGTCTCACTAGTGTACTGACAACCCCCGATCAACTTTACCTGGTTGAGTGTTCAAGCTTTGTGTGCACGATGTTTGTTTTCTGGTCTCGTCATTGGCTGCAATCCGCCAGTACGTTGACAATCCCCCCACCATCCACTTGTCGCTGCAACCCTGCTTGTGTCCAGGCACGAGCAACAGTGGCAGCCCTTCTGACAGTGAGCAGCACCCCGCCAGCACCAGCAAGAGCAAGACAATGGCCATAGCGCTGGGCGTGGGAGTGCCAGTACTGCTGCTCCTGCTGCTCGGCATAGCTTGGTGCCTGCTGCTACGCACCCGTTTCTCCTGCCACAACCCCCTTTGGTCCGTTCTTCGCTGCTGTGCAACTAGCAGCAGCCGCAAGGGCAGCAGGGCTGACCCATCCTGCTGGGGGGTGTGGCGTGGGGGATTCTCCAGGGGCTGGTGGGGCCAGAGAGCGGAGCAAGCGGCAGCAGAGGGCGGGAAGGACAAGGAGAAAGACGAAACGGTCCGCGGCAGAGGAGGGATGCTGAACGGCAAACCTTTCACTGCTGAAGGTGAGGTTGGCTTTACAGCTGTAGCTTGCAGGGTGACGTATCAGCGGGGCTGCTGACTGTCTTGCTGCCAGATATCCCAGGGCCTCAGGTGGGACTCTCTTCACTTGCTGTCTCCTGTCATTACCTGCTTTGTCCTGCCTTTGTGTCAAGCCTCTCCCCATTCCTGTCGTCCCTACCCTCTGTCTCCTCGGCAGCACCGACTTATTTCTGGGAGACCAAGCTACGGCAATCGCACAAGAACCAGCATGCGGCAGTGCCCCCGCAGGACCCTAGTGCACATGGCAGGGCGGTAGGGGAGTCCTCTGCACGCGAGTTTTCCCTGCTGGAGCTCTGGGCTGCTACAGATGGCTTTGCTCTCAGTGCACGCATCCAGGAGGGGCCGTTTGGGCCACTTTTCAGTGGCAGACTGGCAGATGGGTCGGTGAGTGGCTCACACGGCACTTCATGCACGCATAAATTTTCTCCATGGCATTCAGAAGAAATCAAACTTCACATTTCTGTTCCCTCTCACTCATTCTCCTCTCTCCCCCTCTTCCTCCCACCTTGGCCGCTTTCCCCTCTTCGCTATGCAGCCAGTGGCAGTGGCGCGCCTGGACCCGTCACCCCAGGGCGGATGGTCCGAGGAGCAGGTGCGGCAGGCAGCGGTGCAGCTGTCGCCCCTGCTGCACGGCAACCTGGTGCCTCTGCGAGGGTTCTCTGTGGACGGGGGAGAGAGGCTGCTAGTGCTGGATGACTTTTGCTGGCGCGCTGGCCACCTGGGCACTCTTGCCTGCGCTCTGCACCACCCTAGCTCCCCCTCTTCTGCCTTGCATGGCGCTGATGGGGGTGGTGAGATCGTGGCTGGCAGCAGTGGTAGCACGTGCTTTTTGAGCTGGGATGCGCGAGTGGAGATTGCTATTGGCTGCGCTCATGCTCTCAGGTAACCTTGAACGCCTGTGTAAGTCTGGCAATCTGTGTGTCTTTACTCAGATGGCTTCTCTGTTGTCACGCTCGCCAACCTCGTGCTTTTCCCACCCGTTGTTCCAGTTTCAACGCTCCTTTTTATTCACAAAAGCGCCCCTCTAAGCTTCCTCTTCCGCACGGCTTCTCTTGTTCTGAGCCCCTGTCCCTGCCATACCTCCCCCTTGCCCCATTGCCCCCGTTCCCCCTCTGCCAACCCCCACCTGCCCCCCTGTGCGTGCAGGTACCTGCATGAGGACTGCCGCCCGCCCATCGTGCATGGTGCCATCTCCTCCTCGCTCATCTTCCTTGACACACACTCCCAGCCTCACATCGCCCATGCTGGCCTCGCTCCCCTGCACGGCGCCACTGTCGCCTCCTACGCTCATGTCAGTGCTTCTCTCTTCCCTCGTCTCCCATTCTCAATCGCCTTCCACTGCTTCTTTTCCCGGATACTACTGCCAGCCTTCCTATAGCAATCTACCAGTTCTGCATAGCCATTCCAAATACCTCCAGCTGGTCTTTCTTTACGGGAGAGCTCCTTCGATCCTGACCCCCCGGCCCCATCTTCCCTTTCCTTTCTGCCCTATCTTCAGACGGACCAGCTGGTGGGTGCGTTTGCGTACAGCGCACCAGAGCATGCAATGACGGGCGTCTTCACGCCCAGCAGTGACGTGTACAGCTTCGGAGTGGTGCTGCTGGAGCTCCTCACAGGCCGCAAGCCCGTTGACCCGTATGTGTGCTGCACTTGCTGCTTTGTGCCACCTGCTGCTACTCACTTGTCATCTGCTCTTTCTTTCATCCCGTCCTTCTCAGAAGAGTGCCATGTCAACTTCCCGCATATCTCCCTCCCTGTCGGCCCCTCACCCCACTCTCTTGTTCTTCAACTGACTCCGCCCTCTTATTCATTACCATAGGCAAGGTTCTGTAGCTTACTCAGCTTCTCTTTCCTCTTCACCTCCCTGTCCCACCCGAACTCCCCTCCTCCCCCTCTCCCATCCTATGCCCATTCACCAGCTCAAAGCCCAAGTCGCAGTCTTCTCTTGTGCGCTGGGCTGCTCCCCGCCTTTCCTCTACCTCGGCGCTCCCGTCGCTCCTGGATGCGTGCATGCCTGGCCACCCTCCATCGTCCACTGCTCTCCTGCACTTCGCCAGGCTTGCATCGCACTGTATTCAGGTACCTTCGACATGCCTAGTTCGCTTTCTTACTCCCCTCTGCTTCTCTCGCTCGCTTCTCACAAAGTTCTCCTTCCCTCCCTTGCACTTTCCCCCTTCCCTCACTCCGTCTTTGCAACCCAAGCCTACCCGCCCCTCTTCCCCCCCACTCCCCCACCCCCCCCACCCCCCCCTCGCTCTTCCAATCTTCGGCTTTCCATGTCGTTCTCTCTCCTCAACCCCTCCCCTTGCTTTCCAAGTACATATTTGTGCTGTTCCAGTCCTCCCCATTCTTCTTCTCACCAAAACTACACTGTGTGGTGTGCCTGTCCTGTTCCCCGCTACGACCCACGCAGCCTGAGGCGGAATTCCGCCCCACCATGTCACAAGTCATAGCAGAGCTCTGTGGCAGTGTGCGCACTGCCGTGCCCTCCGCCCCCCCATTGCCCGCCTTGCTCCCCAACCGCGCCGCTCGCGCTGCCTCGAGGTTCGGCAGGGGGTCCAGTGGACAAGAGGAGAGGAGAGTGGCACCGGTATTAGAGGACGATGGGGAGGGTGGCGCGATGGCACGTGCATCCACTCTCAACTCAATACAGTACTGACAGGCCCTGGGTTAAGGAGGACTCCTTAGAATGCGTGCACTACTGTAACTGTAATCTGTTTTCTGATGCCATGCTTGTTATGGGCCATATTGCGCTAAGAATGCACCCTAGAGGAACTGCGTATGGCAGCCTTGCTTGCAAGGGGGCACACCACACCAAGCATACACGGGAGCATGAAGGAATGAAGGAAGGAACCACAAGAAGTCAGCAAGTCAACAGGTGGTTCCGTAGCTGTGGCTCATCATGATGACCACTGGCACATCACATGGACCCTGATGGTGAATATGCTCAGCAGCGGTGTGCACAGTGCAGAAGGTACCGTGGACCAAATCAGCATCATCGGTCCACAGCTGCTGCTGGTCCACATTTCACGGTTTCACACTCCATCACTCCGAGCTTCAGCGACAGTTGACCAGTCACATACGTTGAGGACATGGCTAATACGCGCGCCGAGCATGGCGGCGGGAGGGCTAATCGTCTGCCCGACCTACCTGCGGAGGTCATAGAACTTGTTTTGATGTATCTGGAGCGACCCGCTGACGTGGCGCGAGCAATGCTCGTCAGCAGGGTTTGGCGCGCCGCCATGCAGCGTTGCGGCGCGAGGCGATTCGCGCTGGTATTTAATCAGCGGCTGCTGCGCTGGGAGCCATGGTTCGGTGACGTCAGCAGCTGTGCGATCTCGGAACTGTGCGATCCGTCGACCGTGCAGCTCCCGCTGGCGCTCGATCGCAGGAGTCGCATGCCTCTGCGACGGCTGGGCGAAGCTGTCGCAGCTCGCACCGACAGGGATAGCGAAGGCGACGACGCGTGCGACGACGCTGCGATGCTGGCGTGTAACGACATGGGATGGCACGGCCGGGCGATGGAGCCGTGTCCGGTGGTGGGGCTGGGGGCGTGGGATGATGCCGCGGGGAATGATGGCGCGGGGGGGGATGGCGCGCCGGACGCGCCGAGAGACCAGTGGTCCTGCGCCCTGGTGCCGCGCTTAGAAGCCCGCGCGCGACAGCTGCAGCGCGCCCTCACGTCCTTCCACGTAACCATCGCGACTTGGCGCGCTGTGCCGTTAACGCCCAGCGACCTCTCGCGCCTGCTGCTGTCCCTCGCCGCGCACTGCCCGTCGCTGCAGCGGTGCGTGCTTCAGGTCAAGGTGTCGGGGGAGACAGGGTGGCGGGGCGACCGCGGAGGTCATGCTACTTGCGAGGAGGAGGCGGAAACGGGGGAAGAGGCGGAGGCGGAAGCGGAAGCGGGGAGTGCTTACAGCAGGGGTGCCAGGCGGATGGGGAATAGCGTGTGTGCTGCCCTCCGCGCGTTGCTCACCCAGTGCTCCGCCTTGCGCTCCCTCCACTTGCACCACACCTCCCTCACTCCCCACCTCTGCCTCCCCGCGTCCCTACCCGCCCTCGCCCCGCGCTTGGAGCACCTCTCCCTGCCTCTCCCTTCCATCCCGCCATGCCTCTTCCGTTTATCAAGCCTCCGCTCGCTCTCCTTCACTCTCTCTCCCCCCATCCAGCCACAATTGGCGTCCGGGTCCCCGTTCTCCCACATGACTCGTCTCTCCTCCCTCTCCCTGCATCTAGACCTAGACGTTCATGTGCACCGCGACCCTCCCCCGCATCTTTTCCTCCGCATGCTGCTCTCGCATTGCCACCCTGCCTGCATCCCCCCCTCCACGCTTCCCATCTCACCGGACCTGTTCGCCGGGCTCGGCCCGAGCCTTCGCCGCCTGTCCCTGCGAAGCACGAAGGTCCGGGGCTTCTGTGAGGACTGGCCGCCGGTGAGAGTACCCAGAGAGCACTGCCTCGCGTCCCTCTGGTCTCTCCATTCACTCACACAGTTAGACACTAACCTGTGGGTGATGGACGGCGACTGGGGTGAGCAAGAGGTGCAAGAGAGCCTGGGTCAGGGCTCGGAGGAGAGAAGCAGAGATGTGGATGAGGATGAGGATGAGGATGAGAAAGAGATGAGGTCTTGGAGACGGGAAAGGTATGAGCCGGGGGCAGGAGACCCATGGGACAGAAACAGAGGGCCGGGCCCATTCTCCCTCTACCGCCCGCACAGCACCCTCGGTCCGTGCCTTGCTGCGTTGTGCTCCCTCACATCCCTCACTCTGTCTCTCCACTCTGTGGTCCCCGCGGCACTCTCCCAACTCTCCTCGCTCACTCGCCTTGAAATGCCCGCAGCTGCATTCGACCCACACGGGGTCATTCTCTCTCTGCCCACCCTCCGCCATCTTGACGTTGCCATTCCAGACCTCTCCCTGCTGCTTCCCTCCCACGAACCATCACCTCGTACCGATGCGACCAGCTCCGTTGGTGCATCTTCCTCGCGCCTGTCAACTACAGTTACCCTAGGGACAGCGGCACTGACACCAACAGGCGCACATGCCACAGACACCACCACCACTTCCTCCTCCTCCTTGTCCTCCACCACCGGATTGCATACCCTAGTGCTTCGCTCCACCGACCGTCTCCTCATCCCTCCCACCACCTCCCCATACCCATCTCTCCTCCACCTGGAGCTCCACTCACTGCCCTCTCTGCTTTGGCTCGGCCCTCACGACCGCCCCATGCCTCCTTCCTGCTGCCTCTTCCCCAACCTGCGCTCGCTGCTGTGCGCAGTAAACAGCTCCAGGGGTGGAATGGAAGTTGATGTGGCAGCACTCCCCTCGCTCACGCACATGTCAGGTGGCCCGTGCCTCTTGCGCACAGACACCACCCCGCCGCTCTACCCCCGCCTGCAATTCCTGCTTCTGAAATTCACAGAACCTCCATACCCTGCCCCGCTCTCTTCCTTCACACAGCTGCGCTTTCTCTGCCTGGGGATGGCCGGGTTGCCATGGCAAACGGCCCTGCTCCCTGCCCTCAGCTCGCTACCGCTCTTGCGCACGCTCCGCCTGGAAAACATATACACAGCCATGCAGTGTTGTGTGTTTGACAAGCCCCTTCCCCTCACAACGCTGCAGCTCTGCAATGCACACCTGGAGTCCCTTCATCCATCCATCGCCCTCCTCACGCGTCTCACTCGCTTGGATCTCCTCCGTTGGATCCATTTGAAGTGCCTACCAGAGCAGCTGACAGCACTGACGGCACTGCAGAGCCTGGCAGTGAGTGGGTGCCAGAGAGGAAGGCCTGGTGTACCAGGGTGCGTTGCACACATTCTGCGTGGCAAAACGTGGTACTTTCCCCCTCCAGGGTGCAATACTGTGATGTGAACGTCAGTGCATCCTTCTGAACTGCAGCTCTTCTTGCTAGTCCACCTCGCGGTGAGTGTGGCTAGTTATTGTACACCATGGTGCATGATGAACCAGCGGGTCTCAGTCGAACACTTGGAGTCTATGCTTTACTGAATCCTTGTGGAAAATAAATTAAATATATTTGCAGCGGACGGTCCTTCTAACCTAAAAAGATGAAGCAGGCTTCCTGAAACTCTCCTCTGTACAGATGGGCTCAGCACAGCAACTGCAGGAACGCCAGATTCCCTCTTCAGATCAACTCCCTTGTCTTGTCCTACAACCCTCTCCCTCCCCCTGCCCCCTTATCCATCCTACGCATGAGTTAGTTGCTACCTCTCTGCTACCCAGCAACGCTTTCCCTTGTTAGGCACCTCGCCTCGCGACTCCCCCTCGCTATCTACTCGCGAGCCATGCGTTTTCGAGCTGCTGGTGCACGCCGGGTCCGAAGCACCGCGCGCGCGTGATGGAGAACCGTGTCGCGGTCAAGGAGGAGGCCGCGGAGCAGCGAGTCGTCTTAAGAATATAGCACGCGTGCCGGTGGCTCGATCGCCCCAGCACCACTAGCCCCCACACGCCCGTCTGACACACACTTCCCGGCCCTGCGGGCGGTAACGGCTGCTCTACCACGCCCGCCATCTCGTCGCCGTATCGCCGCGTCAGATCCGTCGGATCTAGCCGGTGCACCAGGATGAGGCCGTCAGGATTGTCGCCGGCGACGGTTCTCCTGACGGTGGACCAGCTGTCGGGGTGCTCGACGACGCCTTCCGGTAGCCGTTGGAATGCCGTGCTGGGAGAGTGGTGTAGCGCAGAAAGGGCGTGCTCGTGCGCGGGGTGATCGTGCGCGGAATGCTCGTGCGCGGAATGCTCGTGCGCGGGATGCTCGTGCGCAGGGTTCTGGTGCGCGGGGCCGTCGAAGATAAGGTGGAAGAATGGCGCTTCGTCCAGGTGGCCGATAATCTGGCGGGGTGGATGATGAAACGCGGAGAATTGGGTGATTGATTGACTTTCGGACGGGAAACAGGCGACGGAGAAACAAAGAAAGAAGAAGAGCGAGGAAGCTGCGAGCGCAAGATTAGCGAATGGGATCGGTGCGGAGATGAGCGCGAAGCGACAGACGAAGTATCAGTATAAGAAGAATCGTCGAACACGACGAACTGTTCACTCCCGTTCCGCGCGTCCTTACTGCTTCAACTCGTTCCTCGCCTCACCTCCGCGGCCGATCGCTGCAGCCATGACTCGAGCCGCTCTTTCGTCACTTCCGGCCCCGCGCTGCTGCAGTCATCTGCATGCACCAGCGCGTCGCGGCTCGCGAGCGCTAGATCGCCTGCAACCGCCGGCAGCGCGAAAAGCGGCCCTGTCGACCGTGGCCGTAGCGCAGCCACCACGATCTGCGTACGGTGCCGTGCTGGAGCCGCGACAGCGGTTCTTCCTGCCGTTCCCGGCGATCTCGCCGTCATCGGCGATCCCGCCGTTCTCGCTCTCTGAAGCCATCGCCTGTAAAATTAGAGGGATGACCGTCAGATTGAGCCGAGACTCGATGTGACAGAAAATGACATTGAATTATGATGGACCAATTGAGTGAACGGAGGAAATGAAAAGTGAACGCGTGAAGCTAATTGTCAAAAGCCGCCTACCTGGACGAGCTTAGGCATGAGAGCAGTGGTCTGTTGCCGCCATGTACGGCGAGCAGTGACGCCGTAGCTAGAGTGACGGACTCCGACATGATTGCTCGGGTGAGAAGGAGCAATCAAGGCCAAGAGCAACTGCGGTAGCTAAACGTCACTGAGCTGGGCTAGATAGGAGGAACGTGCAGAAGAACCGAGAAGTTGCTGATCCGTGTTGTGTTGTTGCATTGCAGTGCGGTGCTGCGCCGCTGCTGCGCCGTGCCCTCCCTGCGGCTCAACCCTGCTGCGCTGTGTGTGTGGCCGTCGTCATCGCTCGCTACAACGGACCGCGCAGCGCAAGCCGTGTGTAACCGAAGCTCCCAAATTCCAATCGAGAGAATTTCTCCAGTGGCCAATTCGGTGATTCATCCTTGCTCGGAGGGCCTCGAATTACTCGAGTGGCCACTAAATTTGTTGATAATTACTCGAGTGGCCACGCCAGGGGATTCCTGCTGGATTTTTTTTCACCGGCGCATTACCCTACGAGACTTTGTGGCCCTGAAATTCCTCATTCGTGCGAGTGGTATCCCGAGGTAGTGTTCCGTTCTGTTCCGCACCCGAAAATTTCGCCAGGCTCATGGACGCGAAAGTGGCCCGCCCACTGTAAAAGAATCCGACCAGCAGTACATTGGCCGGTCAGTTTCGGCCAAATGCGCGACCAATGAGCGCGTGGTCAATCTAATTCTAAACTAATCAGCGATCGAGCATATAACTTCGCGATCATATACTGCATTTGACCCGAAAAGAACCGCCACAGCAATAACGACCGCGCTCGATTGGTCAGGAAATATGCGCGGTTCATTTGTTGCCACTGCTCGTCCAATCAGGTGCCATCGTAGAACTCCCGATCATACAGTATACTGAAATGATCGGCCGTTCAGTTCGCGAGAAATTAGATGACCGCGCGTGATTGGTTTGTTTTGTTCGCTGGATATGGATTTGACTTTGCGCGTCCAATCAAATATGTCCAAACAAAATCGCAGGCATATATTATATAAGACCGCGCAATAAACTTTATGTGCGCGCATATGTGATGATCAATTGTGTGTGCTTAGGGAGCATGTAAAACCTATTTTCGGGTGCGGAACAGAACGGAACACTACCTAGGGATACCACTCGCACAAATGAGAACTTTCAGGGCTACAAATACCCGTAGGGTAATGCGCCGGTGAAAACAAAGCCAGCAAAAATCCCCTGGCGTGGCCACTCGAGTAATTATCACCAAATTGGGTGGCCACTCGAGTAATTCGAGGCCCCCCGAGCAAGGATGAATCACCGAATTGGCCACTGGAGAAATTCTCTCATTCCAAACCCACCAGATTGCCACCAACCAACCTTCGAGAGGGCGTGTTTTTGGCTGATGTGGTCGGTTAAGTTCGGTTGGTACGTTTCGAGCTGGTTAAGGTTGGGTTGAGAAGCGTGTGATTTCCGCGTATCTGGATGATCTCCCTGGTCTCGGGAGGCATGTCTGCGCGCATTTGCTGAAATTCAAGTGGCGGAACGCTGTCGGTTGGCGAAATGTACACTCACGACTGCCACTGGCGTTGTTGGGTTGGTTGGGGGGGATTGGAGGGGGAGATGCTGACTGACGGGTTCAGGTTTATTTCCGTTGGAACAATCGCGTTATGTACCATTCTGTGTATATTGAGTCACAATGTACACTGCCCAGACTCAAAGCGTCGCTAACAACAATGGCTGTGAGGCTGTCTAACTGCCTTTATTTTCCCTCGGTGTAGTGTCCAGTCTGAACATGATTCATTTGATGAGCAACTGTTCAAGGATTATCCATCTCGTGTCGAAGCATTAGTTTTGAACACTATCCTCAGGCAACTGCTCCCCCTCTACTCCTGTATGTGCCCCCTCTTCCTTACCTTCTGCTATGTCTCGCAGCACATCTGGAATGTCGTAGTCTATGTGGTTCAATGGAACATGAAAATCCGCAGCATACGCTTGCCTCACAATCTCAATCGTCTCCTGCCACAGAACGCGCACATCATGCCGATCATTCCAAACATCAGTACACTACCCACATGGTGCTGAAAAAAAACACCTAACAGCACAAAACAGATACAACACAACAGAGCAGCAGCAAAAAGAAAACTCCAAAGAGCACCCCTCCCAACCAACTGCACACCATGCCCCCACCCCCCCTCCCCTCCCCCTTCCGCCCCATGGCGGTACCTTATCGTAGGCAGCGCGCATCCTCTGCTCTGCACGAGTCTTGTGGGTCTGTGACCCAAGCTTGAAGATGCGTGCAGGGTCCACGTGGGAGCGGTTGAGGCGCGTGACCACGCGCTCAACGTCGTCGTGCAGAGTCTCAAAGCGCCCCACCTCGTCGTAGCGGATCATGTGCAGCCCACACAGCTGCGCCTGCCATGGGGCAAGACAAGGGCCAAAGGGCAGTGGGCGGGTGGGCGGGTGGGCGGGTGGGCGGGTGGGCGGGTGGGCGGGTGGGCGGGTGGGCGGGTGGGCGGGTGGGCGGGTGGGGGGTGGGCGGGTGGGCGGGTGGGCGGGGTGGGCGGGTGGGCGGGTGGGCGGGTGGGCGGGTGGGCGGGTGGGCGGGTGGGCGGGTGGGCGGGTGGGCGGGTGGGCGGGTGGGCGGGTGGTGTGGGCGGGTGGTGGGCGGGTGGGCGGGTGGGCGGGTGTGGGCGGGTGGGCGGGTGGGCGGGTGGGCGGGTGGGCGGGTGGGCGGGTGGGCGGCGGGTGGGCGGGTGGGCGGGTGGGCGGGTGGGCGGGTGGGCGGGTGGGCGGGTGGGCGGTGGGCGGGTGGGCGGGTGGGGCGGGTGGGCGGGTGGGCGGGTGGGCGGGTGGGCGGGTGGGCGGGTGGGCGGGTGGGCGGGGGTGGGCGGGTGGGCGGGTGGGCGGGGGTGGGCGGGTGGGCGGGTGGGCGGGTGGGCGGGTGGGCGGGTGGGCGGGTGGGCGGGTGGGCGGGTGGGCGGGGCGGTGGGCGGGTGGGCGGGTGGGCGGGTGGGCGGGTGGGCGGGTGGGCGGGGTGGGCGGGTGGCGGGTGGGCGGGTGGGCGGTGGGCGGGGGGCGGGTGGGCGGGTTGGGCGGGTGGGCGGGTGGGCGGGTGGGCGGGTGGGCGGGTGGGCGGGTGGGCGGGTGGGCGGGTGGGCGGGTGGGCGGGTGGGCGGGTGGGCGGGTGGGCGGGTGGGCGGGTGGGCGGGTGGGAGAGGATGGGAAGCATGAGATGAGGTTAGGGTGTCACGGCCAGTGCAGCGTGTGGAAAATCCAGGTAGAGAGATGTACGTGCGTACATAGGTGCGTGTGTGTGCGTGTGTGTGTTACCTGAGTGGCGATGTGAGCATCCCCATTGCCCCCTGTCTCGCGCACTATATCCGCCACCATGCGCACTGCTGCCTTGAACCCCACTGGCACATCCACCCTCTCCCCATGCTGCTCCAGCCGCTCCCGCCCAAATATCCGCTGGAGGAGGTGATAGGGCAAGGGCAGAGGAGGGAGAGGTGCAGGTGCAAGGGAGGGAGGAGGGAGGAAAGGATGATTGACGGTGCTGGAGGGAGAGAGATGGTGTCTGGAAACCGACAAAGGAAGGCCACCTGCATCACTCAGAACCGTCGTTGTGTCTGCGTACTTGCTGTCTTGACGTTGTTCACCACTTCAGCGCTTGAAGTTCAAACCCCTCATCTGCCCACCTGCACTCTCCGTACCATCCTTCCTGCCCAAATGACCGACTTCGAAGATATCTTTGCCATCTCACATCACCCCACTTCCCCAAAACCGACCCCTAAACCCCCTCCCCTCTCTCCCCGCCCCACGCCTCCCTCCCCCACACCTCTAACCCCCTACAAACCCCCTCCCCTCTGGCCCACTCACATGGTTCCACAGCGTCACATTGTGCTTCTCCCCGCCGTTCACCAGCTTATCCGCATGCGCGCTCAGCAGCCGCGAAAACGGATTCCGCACGAACACAAACTTCACCAGGTCCCTCCGGGTCAGCTGCCGAATAGCATCGTCCTCGTCTAGATCCCGGTACATGAGTGTGAGCCCGTTGAGGTGCGCATGGTGCGTGTAGTTGTAGTCCGTGAGGTTGCTGAAGCCGTGTGCGGCGCGCAGCCACATCTTCCAGCTCGTGCACGCTACTTTCTCCACGAAGCAGTATATCAACCCCAGGTGCTCTGTGGGAGGGGCAGGGTGGAGAGGTGGTTGCGGGGTGGGGGGGGGGAAATGGGGAGGAGGAGGGGAAGTGGGAGGGAGAGGGAGTGGGGAGGGGCGTGACGAAGGGGAGGAGGCGGGAAGAGAGGGTGGTAGAAGGGTGGAATGAGTGCAAGGCACTTCCATCTTTATGAAGTGTTAGCCAGAAAAAAGGCAGGATCAGTGGCGCCCAGCAGTAGCAGCAGCAGCAAATGCTGACACTCTCTCTCTCCACTCTCTCCCACCATCCCTTCCCCCATCCCTCCCCTTCGTCACTCCCCTTCCCTCACCCGCACTCCTCCCCCATTCCCCCTCCCCCCTCTTCCTTCCCCCATCCCCGTGTCGCACCATCCACGATCACCTGGTAAGACTTTCGAGACGTCTCAAAAGTCCACCCCTCCTTCCCCCTAACCCCCATCCCGGTGTCGCACCATCGACGATCATCTGGTAGGCGAAGCGCAGGCTGGCGAGGGGGAAGAGCTTGGGGGACGTGCACACGGGCGCCTGGCGGAAGGGCGGGCCGGCTGCCCCGCGCAGGGCGGTGGCGAGCCCTGTGATGAGCTCCGCCTCTGGGGACAGCGGCACTGATGAGAAGAACGCGGGCGCGTGTGATAGCGCTAGGAACTCCGTCACCTGTGGGAGGAGGAGGGGGAGAAATGAAGATGAAGGGATGGGATGGGAAACGAGGAGGGAGGGATTGCTTGTGTGGGCTTTGAGAGTCAAGGAAGTATTTGAGGGGTGAGTGCTTGTATTGCTCACTCATTGACTAGCTTGCACCCTTTATTCCCACACATCCAGGCCTGCTTCTCGATTTTCAAACAATTCTGAGAATATCAAATGAATAAAAAACAAATAAGAGCAAGCGGCTCACCTCAAGCTCAGCACACTCCGCCCTCCTGCCCCCCCCCACCATCCCCCCATCTTCCGCCACCCCTCTCCGTCTCACACCACTCCCCAAGCACTGCAGCTGCGCCCTCCGCCTGCTGCTCTCCAGCAGCAGCGGCTCGCGCGACGCATGGAACATGCCCACCGCGGCGGCAGCAGCGGAGGGCAGAGCAGATGCAATGGTGAAGTCGAGGGATGGGTCCCGCAGGAAGTCGTAGGCGAGGCGGCGGGCCGTGCAGGCGGCGAGGGAGTGGGAGAAGCGGCGCGTGTTGCAAACCTCGCAGAAGGGCGGGATGATCTGAGATATGTTGGCGGGGCAGCCGGTGCAGGTGTCCAGAGGGGTGTCCTGGCATGCGGAGGGGAGAGGGATCAGGACGAGGGGTTGAGGACGGGGGTCGGGATCGGGAAGGGGAAGCCGGGAAAGGGAGGCGGAAGACGGAAGAAGGAAATTTAATAGAAAAAAAAGATGTGCTTGTGATGTCTGCAGGTGGTTTAGGGAAGTGGTAGAAGGCAGCAGCAGGTGTAATGCTCCTCGACGCAGGTAAGCCAAGGTGAGAGAGAAGCCGGTGAGCTGAATGGCATGTTGATTATCATGGCACATCATGGAAAGAAGCAGAGCACCTCGAGGAAAGCCGCAGTGGAGCGGCGCACACGTGGAATGTCCTCTGCTGCTAGCAGGCGTGCCACGGCTGGTGAGGGATGCAGCGAGTGCAGACATGCTGCCAACTCGTCCGCCATCCAACACGGGTCGTCCGCCTGATGGGCGCACGTGGCGGAGGGTGGGCGCATGCAGGGGAGCGGGGGGGTGGGCGCGAGCAGGGGGAAGGAGGGGGGCAAGCAGCTAGGGTGGGCGCGAGCAGGGGAGGATTGTGGTGGTGGCAAGGAGGGACGGAAGCACGTGAGGGGCGGGAGGAAGTGAAACAGATGCACCGAAAGAAGGGAAATTCAGAAGCGTGTAGTGCTCCCTCAGTCCCGCTCCCTCAACCCCCCCTGCGACGCACACCTTGCCTCGTCATACATCCACCCACTTCATGCACTGCCCTCCCCTGCCCCACCCATTCCTTCTCCTGCGGCCTGCCTTGTATTGTACCACCCACCCATCCATCCCACGTGCTGGCTCGAGTGGACACGAGTGGTCTGACGGGCATGCGGAACACCCCAGTCGCTGCACTGCTCTGTCCCACCCATCCCTTGGCCCGCAGCCCGGTTCATTCATACCCATCCCTCCCATGTGCTGGCTCGAGTGGACACAAGCAGCCTGACCGGCATGCGGAACACCCCGCTTGCTGCACTGCCTCCCACTCCTGTCGCCGCCCCACAGTCCCCCACTGACACCTGGGTGGGCAGCGGAGGAGCGGGGAGGGAAGGAGGAAGGGGGGGCGAAGCGAAGGAGGAGAGGGAAGCAGCGGCGGGAGGAACGGAGGAGAGAAAGGAGCATGGGGTGATTGCAACGCAAACTGGAGAGACTGGGCATAACAGGGCGACCTATGTCCTGAGCATCGGCAGCAACCTACTGTCCTGCACAGCACAGCATGCATTCATGCATTCAGTCCCCAGGGGCCTTACTGCTTTGTATCTGAAGCCGTGTGGTGGCGACTGCAGCAGCGGCCCTGCCACACACTCGGGCGATACGTCCTCCACTGCCCACCTGATGCCCCGCCGGGATGGGAGACGTGGGAAGGAAAGGAGTGGGTAAGAAAGAGAACAGACAAGTGGGTCACGGGAACAGGGGGATAAGCCGAACGGGGGTTGCAGGAAGAGGGAGAGGGAGTAACAGGGAGAGAAAGTGGGGAAACGTGAGTGACAGTGACAGTGAGCGAGCGGGCGAGAGAAGGAGAGGGAGGGGGGAGGGAGAAATGCTTGCGGAAGGGCAGGTGGTAGCAGCAAACTAGAGCTGCATTGATTACCTCGAATCGAGGCACGCAGAGAGGCCCACAACAGCCCGCCCATTCCAAACCCCACCCACCCCCTCCCCCCCTCCCCCCTCCTCCCCATCCACCCTTCCTTACCATCCACTTTCCCCACGCACAGTCACTCACCGAAGGTCGGGTTTGGAGATCTTGGGGTGGGCGGGGAGGGAGAAGAGCGAGGGGAAGGGAGCGGCGTGCACGGGCGCGTCTGTGAGCCAGAGCACCTTGAGCGAGAACCCCGCCGCCCCTGCCAGCGCCTCCATTCCGCACAACGCCACCACCCGCGCTGCCATGCTGCCCTGGGGGGAGAGGGGAGGGGGGAATGGGGAGGGGAGGGGAGGGGAGGGGAGGGGAGAGGAGGGAGGAGGGTATGGGAGGGGGGAGGGGAGAGGGGGAGAGGGAGTGGGGAGGGAGAAGGGTGTGGGTGCAGGGAGGTGCTTCGTGTGCAGGGAGACGGAGCGAGGGCGGAAGGATTGTGAGAGCTAAGTGCGAACAGGAAGAAGGGGGAAGCGAAGAGGGGAGGGAAATTGTGCGGAAGGTGCGAGAGAAGGAGAACAAAATAAGGGGAATGGTTGATTGTGGGGGGGGGGGGGGGGGGGGGGGAGGAGGCGAGGAAACGTTCCAACAATTACGACCAGGGTAGGCAAATCGGCGACACGGTGGGCGACACAGCGGGCGACAGAGGCGTCGCACGCACCTCGGCGATCAGAACGAGGTCGTATTCGGCCAGGCTGGACGCAGCGGGGCAACCGCGGTTCGTGAATCTTCTCAGCATCTGGTCGGGCCGCAGCGCGACGCACGCCGCGAGCAGCGCGAGCGCCGCGAGCATGACCGTGGCGGCGAAGGGTCGCTGCTGCGGGGGCGCGTGAAGCACGCGCGGAGTCGTGGGATGGCGGCGGGATCGCGGCGTTGACGGGTGGCGGTAGGAGCGACTACCGGCGCCGAAGAGGAGGTGCATGGCGGGCGATGGATGGGCACGGCGCCGCACTGAAGGACGGTAAAGGCTTTCTCTTGAGGCTATGTCGGCGGTCGGTTAATTTAGGCAAGAAAAACGGGCGAGGGTGCGAAATTCCGTACTACCACGAACGTTGACTCAACGAAGGGGGATTGTATCAGCGCCAGGGACGGCACGGCACGGCGCATTTGGTTACAGCGAGACGAACTTTTAGGGGTCTTGGAATTACAGTGGCTTGCTCACCAGTGCTTAGCTTCGTGAAACATGGAATGTGGAAGGTATGAGGGCAAGCTATGGCTTCATGCTTTGTGCTGATCATCGCTGCGAAGGGGCATTGCCATTCTGTGATTTGTTGTGGTTTGTTGGTGGTGGTTGAAGCTAGGAGTGCACAGGCAGGACAATGGCGCGGACAAAAGTGTTCCGCCAGAATCACGATTCTTTATTGAGTCAAAGCTATGAATACCGTGCAATTGGTATCATACTGGTTTCTGGAGACTTCGTACCTGCAGTTTATTTGGTGTCATTTGATGTGATCTCGATCAATTACGGTCATAAGACCCACGCTTTAGATGAGTACAGATTACAAGGTAGTGTTTGAAGAAGAGTGTAGCATGGGTGAGTGTAAGAGAGACAAATGAGTTGCTTAACTTCGGAGTGGGTGTAGGTGATAGGCAAAAAGGGCTCAAAAGCACACTTCACAATATACTAAAGATATAGTTCCAGAAATCCCACATGACAGGTACACTTTCACATCTATTTAACGCCCCCAACTATGCTTATTGCCATGTTACTCATAACCCACCCACCCACCATAGCAAGTTAAACAAGCATCCAACAAACTACAATGAAAAGAAACATGCAATCATACCGCAACAGGCTGAATAGCCATCACAGTAAGCACAGAGTGACCCTTGTCATCCTCCCAAGTGTACGAACCATACTGGAATTCTTCTGAAGCTTCTTTAACTTTGAAAGTCACAGTGTACTTCTGCTTCGCACCTGGAGCAATGGTGAATGAAGACGGTTCAATCGTGTGCTCCACGTTATACATGGATTCCATTTTAACCGTGTAGGTAGACGTTGTCGAAGCAACGTTGGTTACCACCCTTCTCACAACGCGCGTCCCTTTGAGCCGGGATATGGAGATGCTTGGGCGATTCAGGTTCCGAGGAGCGATGCGCACAAGCTGTGCATTGGGAAACTTAGTCTTCGTAATCTTAAGGCTCTGCCCGGCGAGGAAGTTTCTGTAGTTGGCTGCATTCGCATTGTATGTGAGACCAGGGTCAAGCACATCCTTTGGGGAAACATGCCCTTGACCCATGTGCCATGGCGTAGCATCCTTGTTGTTGGCAGTCTTGATGTTCTTACTCGCAGTATTTTTCCTGGTCGCTGTAGTCATGATGGCAGACATGACCTGCGCAGGGCTCCATGCAGGGTACCTCTGCATAATGAGAGCCGCAATGCCCGCCATGTGAGCCGTGGACATGGAGGTCCCAGTCTGCCGAATGAATGACCCGCTGTCTCCAACTGCAGATGCAGGATATCCAGAGATTATCTTCACCCCAGGGGCAATCACATCGGGCTTTAAGATGCTGTTGGTAGCGTAAGCACCTCTGGTATCAATGGAAGGGTGGCAAAGGGGGCCCGTGGATGAGATGGCTGCAACCCTAGGGGCGGCATTGGCTGCACCGGTCAGAGTTTGATTGAGAACAACTCCACCGCGCAGAATAGTGCTGCGGGAGAAAAAGGGCAAACAAGAACTAGCATAAGTGGAACGGATCCCCACATGAAAAGCACAAGGGTGTGTTGCAAAGCTGGGCTGCCATTGCAAGCAGAAGAAGCTGCTACCTCATTGCGCTCAATTGGTGCGACTCACCTTGCTCCAACAGTGAGGTAGAAAGGCGAGAAGTTGGAAATGGTCCTGAATTTCGTGTCCGTGTTCCTGAGGGAAGGAGATCCACTGTTGCCCGCAGCTGCTACTGTGACAACCCCCGCGATGTTCGCAAAGAGGTACGGGAGGTCGTCAAAATAAGTCTCCGAGGGATTGGTACCGCCCAATGTAAGCGAGATCACATCCACGCCATCCTTGATTGCTTGGTCTACGGCCGCAAGTACGTCATCCAGAACGGTAGTCAATTTGTTGTTATACATCCACGCCACCTTGTAGATCGCCAGCCTGGCAGTAGGCGCCATGCCGCTCGCCTTGCCGCCCGCCAGGGACACGTCCATATTGCCAGCCGCGACTCTGAGACATACGGAGCGAGCAGACGGATGGGGAGGAAGATAAATGATAAGTTGTTTTAAGATGGCCGTATTAGTCTTGAAGAGTGGTGTCCTGCCAGGGGCTGCGCCGCGGAGAGCCCAGAGACACCGATGAACAAGCACCAGTACTAATACTACTACTACTAGTAGTAGCGGAGAGGGTGACGGCTGGAATGAAGACCACGGAAGCCGAGAGGAGGACAAGTTAGCGGCGCGAAGAGTCAGGAGTAGAAATGACCACGCACCCGGCACACCAGGTGCCGTGTCCATCTGAGTCGCGAGGCGAGTCCCAGTCAGCGGAGAAGTCCGGGTTGCCGTACGCCTTTACGGCCCCCTGGTAAAAGACACGCGCGCCGATGATCTTGTCGTTGCACTTGAATTCTTTTGTCGCGCCGCACGTGCCCGACCATCCCGCTGGCCTTGTGGAGTCGAAATCCTGTTGGGGAAGGGCGGCGCGGCCGCGCGGATGGACGGTGCGGAGTCGGAGTGGGGCAAGAAGGGCGAGTTGCGGCATTAGCCACCCGTTCAGCAATCAGTGGCAGCAAATCCCGTTCTTCAGTGCTAAAAATAAAGACGAATCAAAGCTCTTAAACTATGCAATGATGCGATGAACGTCATGATCTCACCGTGTCATCGAAGGACGGGTGCTCCGGCCAGATGCCGGAGTCAATCATTCCAATGACCATGTTGTCACCCGTGATTGACGGGCCGGTGTCAGAGAGGCCCCATATTCCCGAATCCATGTTTAGGAACTTTGGCGAGTCTGTAGTCATCTTCTGTAACTGGCGGCTCTCAACCACCGACGCCACGGCCGCGTGACGCCGCAGCTTCCGCACCTGCCAGGGCGCCAGCATTGCCGCGAAGCCGTTCATCGCGTACTTGTAGCTGACGGGCGGGGCAAGCGGGTGGGGAGAACATATTTGATCGCCTTCAAGTTTAAAATGCGGAAGGAGTTACTGTAATTAGTACTAACAATGTGAGATGGTTTGGATTGCACTCCCCTATCAGGTACATGTAGGTGCATTGGCCTCTCTCACCTGTACGTGAGATCTTTCACGGAAAGCCCCACAGAAGCGGCGACTTGCATCTGCTGATAATCCATCGACTTCGAGTGCGCGCGGATCTGAGGGTTCTTCATCATCAGCCGCGCGCGCCGGGGAATTCCGCGCCCGATCATGGACCGCGCTTCCGCGGCCACCGTGGCCGGTGTCATCGCGGAAAAGGCAAGTGCCAAAAAAAACTTTAAAATGGCTCGTTCGTAACTTTGCAGTTGCATTCGCCACGCAAAAAAAAAGTTTGACTCAGCAACAGTGGTAGCGTCAGTAACTGCAACCGTAACCTTTCCGTCACTTTCCCTCAACACGGTGTGCAGATTCCCGCATCCAGCACGCAAGTGTCCGGGCAACTTTACGAATGGCATACAGTAACCCCCCACGTAACTCACACAATCACGATAACGTTGCTCCGCCACCACCCATCACACAAACCTCCCAGCAACCAAAACATGCGGGGACGTACACGTGCCCACGTGTACGTCAGTTACACCCGTACCTGCCACGTAAGCGTACACCGCCAAGACTTGCCGAACCTACCACAGCCGCGTGATTTCGCACCACAACACCAAATCGGCACCGTTCACGTGTAATGTGCTCCACAAGTCGCCCTACAAGTTACACTTTCGCCAGCCCGCACAGTTGCGTTGATTTGGGACTACAGTCTACATCCAGGCCGTTCATTTCTCGAGCGTTGAATGCCGCGCACCACTGCGAACCCACCACGTGCAACCCACTCCGTTACTCGACACAGAATACCCACGCGCCTGTTGATAACCCGCATGTCCCACATGTCTTCATCACCCGTCATCGTACTACGTGTAACCCCATCTCGCAGTGACTTCGCGTGCGTCGCCCATCCACTTGTATACGTGCATCCTCCTCGCCCAACACTCGAGCAACAACTCAAAGGCCGCCACGTATCGCAGACACTTTAGGGAAATCGCCCCTGAAATCGCTTATGCGTGCGCCTACAAGCCACACGGCTCCTACGCGTCGCACCACCTCGTTACGACCGCTCAGGGAGGATGCCCATCACCCGAAAACCACCGTCGTGCACGTGTCGCCCTGTCGCCCTATCGCACCGCTTGTAACATCGTCGCCTGCACCACACTTCCTGCTTCGCACAAATCTCGGCATCATGAGAGGCGTCCACGGTGGATAGAAACGAACCAACATTACAACGACACGCGTCACCTATACACCTGTCAGAAACGCCACCTTTTTCCAACACGCCAAATGCGTGCCGACACCTGCACTCATCATCTACCGCATATGGTGCCTCGTCAACCTTTTTCGCCAATCACGGCAACCCGCGTGTTGCTCACTGTATGGCCGGATCCGGCAATCATTGCCCGATCAGGTACTCTCCGACTACCGCGGCGACAAATGCGGCGCATTTCACGAGCGCTTCGGGTTTTTATGTTCATTTGGTGATTTCCACACTCTCATCCCCGCACAGTATTGTAGTACAAAAAGCACCAAACCATGTCCACTAAACCCACACAAAACAAGCATCACAATACATTTAACACAACCGTCTACCTGCCTGCAAACACCGTATACTTAGGCGGAATTCTAGCAACCAAAAAACCCAAACACGGAACATAAATATCAAAAGCGCACACACAACCCCGATCATCCCACTCCAGGGCAGGTCTATGCCCTCCATCATCCCGGCCTCCCCCTCCCCGCTGCTCTACACGCCCCCGACTGACACCGACTGCACATCATTCCCGGCGCCGTCTCCGCCGCTAGCGCCAGCATTAGGCTTCATGTTCTCAAGACCACAGGCAGAAAGGCGGAGGCCATGGCGTCCCCAAATCCATTCCTCCTTCTCGTCGTCGTACTCTGGATTGAAGTGACGGATGGCCTGTGAAACGGAGCCCTTCACAAGCACCTTGAGCCCGTTCACGACGTGGCCGTTCCCCCCGGCCGAGTTAGAGAGGCGGCCCATCCTCTGCTCCCAATACATGATGCTGTCGGACACCTGAAAGGAAATACACACCGCGCACGCCTTGTAAGACTACAGCCATATTCAAACTAACCACCAAAGTCATACAATGTCACTCACCACGTGCTCCAGCCACGCAAGGTGGTACACCTTCAAAGTCAGCGGCAGTGCAGCCTTCTTCGGAATGAAGGCAGCCTTTGCGCACGCCGCAAACGCGGCAGACGCAAAGGGCATCCCGTCGCGGTCGTTTGACCAGTTGCTCAGCACCAGATCTGTCGTACACACCGCGGATAGAATGGTGGGGTTTAAAGACTAAAAGCACAAAAGCACACCTCACCACTGTCTTAAAGCACCAGAACACCGCTTACCGCTCTCCTCCACACCGAGCCCAATGCGCTCCCGAATCTGCTCCAGCGTGCGTGCGTTGTCCCTTGCCCACGGGCTTGCCTCGTCGCGCTCATCACGGAAGAATCCAAGCTTAGGGAGCGCAATGTCCCGGACCCGTCCGGCTGCCCTTGTCTTCCACTCGCTCAGCGTCTTGTTAAGGTCAGCACGGCGGGACTTGTCCGCGGCAAGCGCAAGGCACGCGAAGCTATGCGGCAGGCGGTCAATCACTGCGCAAACGCCATAAGTCTTGTCGTCTGAGCTCGGATAGAAAGTCATGGTTGCGGCCGGCTTCTTCAAGAACAGCTGCACTCGGACCAGCTCGCATAGGCGCTGCACACAAGTCAGGTACCATGGGAAATTGTGAATGAGTCCAATGCTCCACAACAGTCCATCGCACGGCAGAAAGCGCACGCTCCGAAAGTAATGTTACACGATTGGTAGCACATCCCACCTTCCAAGCCTTGTCGGCCGGCAGCAGATCAAGTGCGCGCTGCAGAACAGGCGACTTCGCAGAGCGCATGTGCTTCCGACGCGTGCGAATCTGTGCCATGTCCTCGTAGTCGTCGTCTTCCTCCTCATCGTCATCCTCCTCAACGTCTGCCACTGCCTCGCCGCGACGCTGGCGCTTTGGGTGAGAAGAATGAAGAACGAGGATGAATGAACTATGAATGAGGTGAGTACATATAGAAAACCCTAATTGGGTTGTACCCCCTATGGGATACCCCACTATAGCCTACACAACAGCATAAGCTATATAATGTTCTGACACACCCCCATAGGCAAAGTGGGGGAGAACAAGGGGTCACAAGACCAGTCAAGCAAAGCAGAGCAAGCTCAGGGTGGATCACAACGTCACCACACAGTCCGAGCACAACGACAAGGCCACAAGGCCAGTTCACATGCAGGAGTACACATATATATATAGAGCTAGACAAGCAAGAGCAGGTATATATATGTGACAGTACAAGTAAGGTCAAGAGGAGAGCAAGTGAGGCAAGACAGGTACAAGACCCAGCTGAGTGCAGAAGCGCTGATGGTCACAAGGCGCAAGTGCCTTGGTGAACACATCAGCAGTGTTGGCCTGAGAGGCCACGTACGCAAGTCGCAACTGACCACGCTGCTGCAGCTCACGAGCAAGAAAGTAACGGAGAGCAATGTGCTTCGTTCTGTGCTCCAAGCGCTGCTCTCGACACAAGGCCAGCATGGCCTTGTTGTCTACGTACAGCACTGGAGGAGAACGAGGCGGCTCTCCAAGGTCAGTCAGCAGGTAGGTGAGCCAGCGAAGCTCCTGTGCAGCCATGGCCCCGGCGTAGATCTCAGCCTCACAACTGGAGCCGAGAACAGAGGACGAGCGAGTAGCTCGCCACGAGACAGAGCCGGAACCAAGACTGAAGGTGTAACCCTGCGACGACCGCTGCGTAGCCTGGTCGTCAGCCCAAGAAGCGTCCGCGTGCCCAGTGAGGACCACTGGACTCCGCCCTCCAAGCACTAGTCCCATGCCCGACGTACTGCACAAGTATCGCAACACCCTCTTCGCTGCAGCCATGTGCTCTGGTCGGTGTCTCCCAGGAGCAACATAGCGTGCAAGAATGCTAAGAGGGTATGCAAGGTCAGGTCGTGTGCAGGTCATCAGGTACATGAGGCAGCCAACAAGCTCTGGATACGGGCCACTCGACTCTACGGACTCATCCGAAGGCAGAGCTGAGAGTGAGTGGCGAGTAGGCAGAGGAGTGGCCTGAGGCGAGGAGTACGTGAAGCCGAAGCGCTGAAGGACCTGCTGCACCATGTGTGACTGAGTCAGGGTAATGGTGCGGCGTGCTCTGTCCCGGGTGATCTGCAAGCCAAGGTAGCTGCGCAGTTCACCCAGGTCTGTGCACGTGTGTCTCTTCTGCAGCTCGGACTTCACGTGGGCGAGTCCAGCAGTGTCAGCTGTGGCAAAGACCAAGTCGTCGACGTACACGAGGATGTAGAACGGCGGCAGAGAGGTGTCGGTGCGTAGAAACAGCGACGGGTCGGCAGTAGAAGGAGCAAACCCAAGAGCCGCAAGCGTAGTCCTCAGTGTGTCGTGCCACTCACGTGGCGCCTGGCGGAGACCGTAGACTGGACGCCGGAGACTCCACTGGGTACCAGGAGGGAAAGACCCAGTGAAGCCAAGTGGGCGGCGCAGCCAGATCTCCTCGTGCAGGCTGCCCTGCAAGAAAGCAGTGCTGAAGTCGAGAGAGTGCAGCTCGTAGTCACGGTGAGCAGCAACGTGTAGCAGCACCCGAAGAGTGGTCATCTTCGGGGTGGGGGAGAAGGTCTGAAAGTAGTCAACTCCCTGTCGCTGACTGAAGCCACGAGCCACGTAACGTGCCTTGAAGACAGGCGGAGAACCCGGCGGCCGCTTCACCCTGAAGATCCACATGCCACTGACGATGTTCGCCCCAAGAGGGGGGACAGCGTCAACGTAGGTGCCTGTGGACTTCCAGGAAGCCATCTCTGCATCCATAGCTGCCTGCCACTGAGAGGAGTAGGGACCCTCTATCGCCTCCGCGTAAGAGCGCGGAGTCGGGATGTCAAGTGCATCCGGGTCTCCCTCAGGGGTAAGCAGTACGGACACGAGATGAGGTGAAGCAGCAGCAAAGCACTGGAACTCCTCCTGCCTGTCCTCAAGGACGTCCGTGCCAAGGGCACACTCACCCCCGACTGACGGAGGACAGGCAGACCCAGACGCAGCGACAAGACTAGCAGCGTAGTCTAGGCGACAGCGAGCAGCAAAGTCGACGAGCTCAGTAACTAGGGCAGACGCAGCAGTAGACTCGAAGGAAGGGTCAGTGACGACAGTAGCAAGGAGACGCGTGACAGTAGGACTGGCAGCACGAAGAGAGTCCGACGCAGGGTCGGGAAGAGCAGGAAGAGAGGACTCAGGAGGAGAAGGCAAAGGGGCACGCAGAGGAGCAGTAGACGGACGCAGAGACATCCTGTGCGTGCAAGGGACAGGAGGAGGACGCTGACGCGAACCACGACCACTAGCGCGAGCAGCACGGACAGGCGACGCAGGGCGAGACGCAGGCTCACGACGCTCAGTAAGACCTCCAGTAGGACCAGTGTAGGGAGAAGGAGCAGGCAAAGGGGAGGTAGGCTGTAGCAGTGACCGCGACGGGACAGGCTGTGGACCCTCCAAGAGAGGAGGAGGACCAGGAGAGGGCGGAAGACCAAGAACCTGCTGCAGGAGTGGAACGAAGTACGGTCGAGGCCGCGTAGCTACGCCAGAAACAGCAGGGACAGCACCAGTACCCCCAGCAGGAGCACCCGCTCCAGCAGCACCTCCAGTAGCTCCAGAACCTCGAGCAACACCAGGAGCACCCCCAGCAGGACCGCCAGCGGTAGTCTCAGCGCCAACACCCTCAGCAGCACCAGCTCCAGTCGAACCCGCAGGCCCAGCAGCTCCAGTACTCCCAGTACGAGCACCTCCGGGACCCGCAACAGCAGCACCCTCAGTAGCCGACGAACCTCCAGCACCAGCAGCACGGCTCCAGCGCCGGGCAAACCACTCGCGCAGCTCCTGTGGAGAGAGTGGCTCCCGGCGAGACAAAGCACGCGTAGAAACTCGAGGCGGAGGACCTCCAGGCGCAGCACTCCCAGGTCCAGCACCCCCAGGCAAAGCACCCCCAGGCGTAGCACCCCCACACTCAGCACCCCCAGGCTCAGCACCCCCAGGCTCAGCACCCCCAGGCTCAGCACCCCCAGGCTCAGCACCCCCAGACTCAGCACCCCCAGACTCAGCACCCCCAGGCTCAGCACCCCCAGGCCCAGCACCCCCAGGCCCAGCACCCCCAGGCTCAGCACCCCCAGCAGTACCAGAGTCACCAGTGACCTCGACAGGCTCGACTGCGTCTACCTGGGACACACCTGAAGGGGCAGGACCCTGAGGGGGGAGGGGGTCTACCGGGGGGGGACCTGGTACAAGGAAGAGCGGGGGCGGGGGGGGGGGACGGAGTGCGGTAGGGGAAGAGGCGGTAGTAGGGTACCGACTCGTCGAACGTGACGTCCTGAGAGGACAGAACACGGCGAGAGGTGGGGTGGTAGAACTGCCACCCAGGCGCGTCTGGGGGGAACCCCAGGAAGACGCAAGGAGCAGCACGAGGGGACAGTTTGTCCGCAGACAAGTCGCGGACAAACGCCCGAGATCCCCAGACCCGGAACGCCGACGCATCGCCCACCTTCCCGGTCCACAGCAACGCTGGGGAGGTCTCCGGCCTGGAGACCCTGGGGTGAAGGTTGATCTGACGTGCCGCGTACCTCACCGCAAACGGCCACAGAAAATGGGGGGCAGCCGCATGCATCATAGACGTACGAGCGACGTCCATGACCATGCCAATGCGGCGCTCAGCAATCCCATTTTGCTGCGGAGAGTCCGGGAGCGTGAAGGTCTGACGGATGCCCCGTGCACGACAGTAGGCTCGCAGAAGGCCAGAGGAGAACTCTCCGCCTCTGTCCGAGTGCAGACGCAGAACAGGAAAGTCGGAGCCAAAGCTCTGCCTGAGCTGGAGACGAGCTGCGCGGATCCAGTCGATCAGCACCTCAGTGACATCACCCTTGCCGCGCAAGGGGAAGACTGCGGTGTAACGCGAGTAGTCGTCAACAACGAGCAGGAAGTAGCGCTCGTGACCCTGCCCACGGACGCGGGCTGGGCCCCACACGTCCATGTGGAGCGTCTGCAACGGGGCCTCTGTCGGAGGAAACTGGGAGGAGTGAGGGGCAGCACGCTGGCGCCCCTCGACACAGGGGACACAGGTAGGGCCAGGGCCCTGAGGAAGGGGAGGGAGGGACCGGGGGAGACCAGACACTAGAAGACGGGAGGCCATGCCTCTGAGCCGAAGCAGAGAGGGGTGACCAAGACGGTGGTGCCAGAGAAGAGTCTCGTGAGACAGGAGACGACAAGAACAGGGGGCAGACTCAGGACCAGACCTGGACGCAGCAGCAAACACCTGACCCGACGAAGCGACTCTACCAGACTCAGTAACGGGAGGAGACGCAGTGGTCAGTGTGTACAGGCTCGACCCCGGCTGACGGGTAAACGTAGCCAGGTGTCGGCCTGTGCTAGCCTCTGTACAGTGCGTCACCCGCTGACGCGCAGGAGTGAACTGGTGTACACCCGCATCCTGTAGGTCAGCACCACTCACCAGGTTCGTAGAGAACGAGGGGAGGTAGAGACCAGACAGGGTGCCAGAGGGAGCCGCCGGACACGGGAGGACTGTGGAGAAGCGAGACAGGACAGGACCCCCAGAGGGGTC